TAATACCCTCAGCCCACTAAAAAAGGAAAATCGAGGTATAATTTTTATTTATACTTTTAATTATTTTTAGAATTAAGAAGTAAGTACCTTAATGACCTTAATACTTGAATGTTAATGTTAATTAAATTCAAATGAAATTTGAAAGTAATTATGCGTCTTGAATACATATCTATTATGCTTTAGTGAATGTGTCTTACTGACCAAAAATTATATTATTACGTATATATATATATATAATAAGTATGCATGTAAGCCATGGGGTTGAGAACTCTTTTCCCTAGCAATAAAACGTTTTGGGGGAACAGGGTACAAAAGCACATGAAATAACTGCTCTTACATCTCAGGGCTACAGGGCATTGAGAAATGATGAGCACGTGCTTCCCTTGGCCAAACATCATGATAAGAAAGGCGCAAACAATTTGACAATTTAATGTGGCGACATCACAACCTGCGACCACAAACTGGCCACGAGACTCGCTGACAACATTAGCCAGTGCAGAACAGCGAGCGAGGGAGCGGAGTCTATAATTATAATTCCATTACCATTACCAGGCGAAGGAGGTGCGAGTAGTGGCCAGCATCGGCGCAGGACTTTTACGAGAAAAAAAGGAAACGAAAATGAACAGAGTGCGATTTGAAAGGTGCAGCAAGCTACCTTGCAGATCCTGTGTAGTCATGTCAAACACAATTGAAGTGGCGTAATTGTTGAAAAAGCGACCAAGCTAATGATGGCCACTTGAGAACTTGTCGAGAGCCAAGGATAATGCGGGCTGCAGTTTCGATGCGCAGCTAATGTGCGCGCGTCAAGCAGCAGGTGAATCAGTTGCCCTTCCTTTGGGCGCATGCGAATGCGGATGCCGTAGCCGCAGCCGCAGCCGCAGCCGCAACCGATGCCAATGCCAATGCGGAAGTATGCGTTACTCGTTTGATTTGACGAATAGTTTACGAGTGCTCTGAAGGCTCTAACCTGGCAACAGTATCCTTATCTGACTTTTTGTTTCATTTGACTCTATTTGTCTTCTTCCCACACTTTCGGCTCAAGCCACATAGGTTTTATGACCCAAGTAGCAATTATTTAACGTACTCCAGCTGCACTCAGATTAGAATCTATAAGAATCGTTAGCTCCGCAAGGAAGTGTATCATGTTGTCCACCATTCAATTTAGACACTTAATGGCATTGCATATGAAACTGTTAATAGAATAAAATAGTTGTCAGTGTGAAGAACAATTTTGAATTTCAGTTTGGCTTTTGATGCTGTTGCCCTAATGGTGAATGCCATTTTTTTTTTTATTTGATACCTGGATGGATAGATACAGCACCTTATGCTGGCACTAGCATATTATTCATGCCCATAAGAATGTCAGCGGCTACTCGTTAACACCGCGGGCGGCTTTTGTTGTGCTCGGAGATACGATATGGAGATCCACTTCACAGAAACAGAAAAGTAACCTGTGTCCACTCAACTTGGTAGCTGTAAAGTTGTTAACTTTGGTTTTATTGCTACACAGTCGCCTACTGATTTTCGTTCTGCACCGAGCCGTCCGAGAGAAGTCTGGAATCCAGCCAAAGGCTACGATTACATAAAATCAATTGTGCCCCATAGCAATTTTAATTAGCATTATTGACGATTGATTGCGCAGGCTTCGGAACTGGCGAGTTCACACACTATAATTGACTTATTTCCGCCAACAGAGATATATTACTAATTCATAGATCTTACCCCTATGGGAGCAATCAACTAACAATAAAAGCTCATTATGTAAATGTCACAGTTTTTGGCCACTTTTCGACGGAGCGCTTTTCGGGAGCGCTACTGTTTTGTTCAATAGCTGCTTATCGATCCGCAGGTTTATGTATTTAATGAGCGGCCAGTGAGGAAAGCAGGAAAACATTTTTAAATTTTTATTGCCTCACATTTGGTTTTAACCTGTTGTCGAGCGTTTTAAATGAGAACATAACTGCTTCTGTTGCCGGTGGCTGCCAATTAACCCTTTCCCATTGTTGCTCATGTTAGGCTTGCCGCTTTTACGGTTTAATTGCGCGCACAGCGGTCAGAGTTAGCCACAAGAAACAGAGAAATCAATCTCGAAATGCGTTGACAAGCCTGGCTCATCGCGAAGATCTCGAGTTCAAGTTCAGTCGGGTGTATTTAAGTGAACCTTTAAGAAATTACCCATAAAAAATGGCTTTATTTAACAAGAGCAGCGCCGAATAAAAGTCGAGCATATAAACTGAACCAACCAAATGAAAAAAATGTTAAAGGTAAGAAGAGAAAATCTGAAAATGTCAACACATTAAATGGTGTCAAAGGCCCACAGTTAGGAAAGCGGAAGACGACTAGACTTTCATATTCGGTCACATGACCACATTTTAATGAGATCAAATTACCATTCAATTAATACAAAGAAAACTGCCTGAAGGCTAACTAAATTAATATATTTAAGCTAATACCTACTTAACAAACAACAGAAGGACTCGGACGCAAGAATCAGCGACTGCACTTTTTTCTGTCTGTTTTCACAAGAAAAAGCTCGCTGTGTTCAAGAATGATTTTTCAATGTATTTTATATACATATTTACATATGTAAATAAACTGACTGATCTAGCATGCTTCACTTTTGTAAGAATTTTTAAATCTTTATTTGCTACGATTCCATATGATTCGTTTGAGCTGTAGCAAGCGACGTGCTAAAAACCCAACTTGTTAAGCCATCAAAGCTGCTTAATCTCTCCGTAGTTAAATAATTCAACATTAACTACAGTAGCCCGATCTCAATTAAAACTAAAAATCGATATTCGTTGTCAAATATTTGAAACTCCTAATCGTGTCAGACAACACCATTACCGCCATAAAAATATCAGTCGCATCGATTGCTTTCTCATGCACGGGCAGATATGTTTGGGGCTGCTTCTCATCTTGTCTGATTCTCCGACAATATCTTGATTTATGCCGAAAACGTGTAGCAGCCGCAAAAACCAAAACACAAATCAAATGCTAGCAGCGCGACGAAACATTGCAATAGTTGAGTCTATACTAAGACGAGCTCCTTGAGCAGATTCAGCTCCTTTAGCTAACGCAGAAGCTGTTGCACATACTCGTATATCTGCAAGTAAGTGATACAAAAACCTCGAAACGAGCGCGAAATCCAAATGCCCAGGAAAGTGAACGGCTCGCGCGTTTTTTGTCGCGCCAAACTTAGCGACTCGTTACAAAAACGCTTCGGATCGGAAATCGAAAGATCGAATTGAAGATGTGTACGATCCTGATATTCCTGCTGCTGCATGCCTACCTCATTTATATTTCGAACGCGAGCGTATAAAAATATTCTGTTGCCCGATCTGGCCTGGCCCAAAAGTGTCGCCCCCGGCTTATGGTCGAGGCGATCACCGACCAACGATCGATATGTGCGTTCAACGTAAGCAGTCCACCAGTCCATAAGTCCAGCAGTCCAGCGGTCCGTGGCAATCTGTGTTTACTCAGAGAAGATACTTTTTACACAGCCAGGCATTCAGGCTGTCAGTCATAGTCATGCCTGATCATTCCGAAGTGGGACAACCAGGCTCAGAGCAGAAGCTTGCTTTTACTGCGATTGTGACTGTGCTTGGGCTTGCGCCTGCTGGCTGGGGTGCTGCTTGCTAGAAAGAAGGCCTTCACACTGTGCTGCATTCCTGACCACCAGTTTTCTTGTGCGAATCCTCAACGCCTTTTAGCATTGTTTATGAAGTGCAATGCCCCTCCTGCTTCAAGCCTTGCACGTGATACAATTATGGCAGTTTTTTTGCTAATGTCTAAATGTCTTCTCTTTTTTGCGGACCAGGCTGCGAACCATACGTTTCTCGCATATTTAACGCAGTTTCCGTAGACTTTGTCGAAGTACATTTTGTCGAAGGACTATTCTTTGGTTCTATTCAAATAGTTAGAGACTACAGCTTCATCTTTCATATAATTTCGAAAGAAGTTCTCTAAAAACATTTAAATATGGTTAAATCCGTGCAATACAAAATAATTTACAAAATATTCGTTAGAAAGTGTCCTCTAAACACCCATACTGTGATTTCATATAATGGAAGCACTTCACACTTTGGCTTGGGCTCCCGTTGCTCCCCTGTTGGTAGTCCATGATCTTACTTTTCTGCTTATAAATTCTGATCACAATGCTGCAACGGCAAGGCACACTACAGCACCTCATGGCGATTTCAATGTCATTGTCGCCTTGCCAAGTAAGTATTGTACAATGGGCCAAAATGAATTTTAACTATCTGTTTATGCGATTGGCTTGACACTATGAAAACCTCGATACTAATTTGTAATTCCTTTGTAATTTTCGATAGTATTTACAAACTATTACAAAAATATGAATATTTCAAAAATTTAAGAGTTTCAAGAAACTATACAAATTATAATAATCATCTAAATAATGTTTTGCGGAGAATATTTCTGTCAGTTCACACTGTGTCAGGCCTCTCCGGTGGAGCCATGCGCAAAGAAGCTGCAGTTGCCACCGCGGGCGATCGATAGCTATGGTCGTGTCAGACATCTTGTAATTTTGTACTTTGCAATGAAGTTTTGCTGTTGTTGTTGTTTTTGTTGTTGGCAACTTGTTGACACTTCGTTGGCGCGCAAGTTAATTAAAGAGCGACTGACCGACGTTCCGACAAGACAATCCAGGGACCACCAGGTAGCTCATTGAAAACCAACGCAAATGGTATAGATGCTTCATTTTATACTGTAGTAAAAATAAATTAAACAAGAATGGTCTAGTTCGAACCACCCAGCTAGCAGGTATCCCGCTCTAAGCTTTTTACATTCATCATTGTGTTTATTTATATTTACAGGTATATGGACATTTGAATACTCACAGCTGGAAATATCGCTACTGAACAAGAAATTGAAAGTGTAAAATTACTATAATTTTGACTCAGTTAATTGCCTAGAAACGAAATTAAATAATTACAGCAACACATTTTGGTAGTAATTAAATTTACACAGTTCGATTGTATTTTATTTCGATTAATTAGTTATCACGAATAGGTAGTCTAAAATAAACATATTAATTGTTTAAAACTGGGACTCTTACTAGAACTAAGTAAAGGCAATCAGGCAGCCTTAGTTGACGACTTCAACGCTACAATCTTCCTCGACATCCGCGACTTCCAGCTGGGATCTTGTTAGCGTAGCCGTATCTTCGGAGCTGACGTTACTAACGTTGCTGTTGCTTTCGCTCGAGCTGGAGCTGGAATTCGAGCTTATGCATTCAACATTATCACGCTTGGTCACACGTCCTTCCAAACTCGTCTGTGATTCGCTGTTGAAACGGAAACGCTTCTCAGGCTTCTTCAATAGTTCCTCAATGGAATAGGGATTCCTTTTGCGACTATTTTGACTGTTAGTCACCGTATCTGTAACGCCGGATGTAGCTGTACTTAAGGTCAACGCCACCGGCGATGATTTTCCTGAATCGCAATCACTCAAGGGATCGCCCATGGCGCAGGGTTTGGTTAGATCAATTGAGCTTTCGGATTTTGTGAACCCACCGCCAACTGCACAGCTTCCTGCAGCAGCCGCTGCAACAGCGGCCATACTGGCTGCGCCATGCGGCACAAAGGCGCCACTATAGGGTAAAATCGGACCGCCCGTTGCTGCTGCTTGGGCTGCCTGCATGTGTGCTTGAGTATAATAGAGCAGCGAAGGATTCCATAGCCAGTGCTTGTGCAGTGCTGAGTAACTTAAGTCTAAGCCACCCAACTGACTGGACACTGCGGTTGCCAATCCATGACTAGGACTGTTTCCATGAGACGGAGGCAACTTGGGCGCAGGTTTGAGAGGGTGCCCATCGCCCAGTAATGACGGTGACGGTGTCGCTTTGGTATAGCGTGAGTGTAAGCTTGATGTCGATGTAGGTGGCGTGCCAGAGGTGGGCGTAATTCGTGTAGCTGCGGAAGCTGAATTACTGGGGCTCGCATACAACTGGGTGGACGAAGCGTAAGCACTAGGAGTGCCGCCGCCAGAAATTTGGTGAGCCGCTGCCACTGCTGCCGCAGCAGCTGCTGCATTCTGCTGACTGGAAGTCATCTCGTCTGTCCAGAGTCCACTATTACGCAATATACGATTAATAGAGCTGATCGACGGTACTGAGCTAGGATCACAAACACGCTGCTGCTGCAGTTGTTCACGTATTTCCCAAGCGAACATGCCGCTGTTCTCTTCCTTTAAGCGTATTATTTTCTTTACCACAGTTGGTGTAGCTACTTGCTGTTGAAGAAATGAAAAGGAGAAAGTCGGTGGCTTAGGCACTGGTCCCCTATTGATGAATATGTTATGTTCTAGGCATTAAATGCCGTGAAATTTTATTGTATAAAGCAATGTATCTGCAAATCAATTTTCAGATCGCCAAAGCCCTCAAATACTAGAGCAGGTCGAGCACCACCCAGTTTAGTTGTTTTTTTAATAGATATATATCAACTCTTGTTTTTTGTTAGCTATGTGCTAACTGCATATTTGCAATTTTAAAAGGTGCCCCGCCAATGTCGGCTCACTTAACGCTCACGTGTGACGCGGCAATTCATTAAAAATTCATAAATACATGAATATTTCATAGTCGCCCCTAAAAGGGTCCAACTTACATCAGAGATCTTATCAAATCATACACACGAAGGCGCTTTGTATGACCGGTCAACTAACCCCTGCTTTGGCCTCTAAGCCAGCTACGCCCTCACCACTCACCACTCTTCCTCCCCATGCGTCTACCTCAGATCCCCAGGGTGACACTTCCATATTGACATGGACGTGGAGGTGTTAAATGCACGTTTTGTTCGAACAAGTGTAGGCAGTTATTGAATCACCATATCACGTGCGAGGACAATGTGAAGTTCGCCTTACTTATAGGTTAATTACGAGTTATATTTTAAGCTAGTGTGCTTGGAAAATAGTACAACACGTTTAAACATTTGTTTAACCTGAAGCTTATGTTGATACCGCGCAGGTCCTATGCAGCCACACTATGCTTATTTTTATCACAATCTGCGTGGCCGTTGGCCCACAACCGTAGAGGTTACACAGTAGCTGCCGGTAGTTGATTGAGCGTGTGAAATTAAACAACTGACGAAAACCCAGTGCTGTGCTCCCGGTGATGACAAAAGCGTGCTATCAGTGCCTGCAAATGAGATTGATTTGTTGCGCTCTACCTACATAGCAATCTCCCCGAATAGTCTAAAAAAGCTGTCGTCTAAAGAACATGTAAACTAGCTTTTTATCTGTGATACTTTATGGATTTACTGCTGTGCGTTTGATTTTTATACATATAATCGCATGTTGATTTCACGGGAGCACACATATGCCCATATCCCACGGACACCGTTTTTCCCCCTATCAACTTACCTTCGTTTTACTGCCGCCAATAGATCCCGGCCGGATGGAACCTGTCTCATAGAAGCGCGTCAGAATTTTGGATACACATCCTACCAGGCGGAAAAAGCCAATAATCCTATTAGTTGATTTTATTTCAATTTTAACCTTAACTTACACACTCACCATGAGACACTAATAGTTGCCTGGATATGTCACAGGGCCTAACGCCACACAGCGCCAAATCCACGATACGTCGTCGCACACAGTCCGGCAATGGGCGCCCATTGACAAAGACTCCGCCCAACTGGTTGACACCCGCCTGACCTGCAAAAAAGAAAAAAAATATTTGTAACGAATTTAAAAAAAAAAAGGTTCTGCAACTAAAAGAGCAATGATGCCTCCATCAATGCTCAAATCAAAATAATTTCCATTCTCTTCTTAAATACCATGCTTGAGTATAAGCTACGCCAATTGAAGCAATACTGTCTTGGTCTAACCGATATGTGCACTCAAACTTATGAGCAATCGTAACCACCGACCAACTGTGTCTGTTACCTTCTGTCGGATCCAACTCCTCGGGGCGTTGGCTGCGAGTTTAATGAAGTGCGAATTTTATGTTTGCTGTCTCTTTTATGGAGCGCAAAAGAGTTTTGCCCGAAGGGCTGTGGCTGCGTTTCAGCTTTCGTGATTATCACTATCGAAATAAGTATCGCAAGTTTTGTTTTTGGTTTTTGTTTCGGTATATGGTATATTTTAGTGTTTGATCGCATTGAATGCTTTCATTGTAGCAGTTTTAGCTCATTAGGTAACATAAAAATGATCGACAACTCACCTGTATGGGGCATTGTTGAAAACGCACTCAACTCAAATTTTTATCAACTGTTTACAGTGTGTGGCGTCACCTGCGTGAGCTTTGTGATGTAAGTCAATGGGTCCGGCTCGAAGCTTTGCTTAATCGTCGAATTCTAATCAAATTTTAAGCAAGAACCCCATTAAACTAGTCAGCGAGATGATGCTGGCTGCTCCCGATGCCAATGCCGATGCCAATGCTGATGCTGATGCAGTTGATGAATGTTGCTTTTGGGATGTTGCTGCAGACCGTCGCCCGACTGAGTTAGTAGCTGAGGAGATGGGTTTTTTACGGCTTCCACGAAATCTCTGCACACAGTTGTCAGCCGGGAATCAGATCAGTGAAAACTAGTAAGGAAAATACATAAAAGTTAATTATTTCATAAAACCTCGAAGGCAACAACATACGGCAATGCGTACATGGTAGAAGTCCTAGTTTAAAGATATACGGTAGAGGGGCCATTTAATGTTCAGTGGTTTATGGGCTGTGCCCAAATGCGTAGTACTTGGATTTTGTTGTATCTTAAATTAGCTGCTTATCAAGCACATTCTTGGCGCAGCGTGAACTTGCCTATTATCAGAATTGTGGGACTAAATAAAGCACATTGCATGTTTGGTCTGCTGAGGTAAAGGTTGAAAATATGCAAATGCATGAGCCGGGCAACAATTAAAATAAATTTTGGCCAATTGCTCATTTGGTTAAAAACATACCAAAAATATGCAAATATAAAACCCGCCGACAGCAGCAGCAGCAGTAGTAGCAGGTCACCCCCACTGTGGTTTCCGCTTCCTGTCATTAGAATGAATGGGCAGGCAGTTTAACAGTGAAGTCCCTGGTTAACCTGTCGCCAGCCTGTCAGAGGCATGAAAATGCGCGCCGAAGAACCGTATAAATCAAAATGTATAACTACCCCTTGGGTCCATAGTCTTCGTACTTTGTCATGCCCATGTTATTATGGAATTCACATTAGATTTAATTGCCCAAAGTCCTCAGGATTTGACTGTTTGGTTACTTTTCAGCTCGTAAAATTCGAAATGCGCGTGTGGACAGCAGCGCTGCTCTTCAAAGGCACGAAATTGAGTTGTTTTTTGTTGTTGTTACTTTGTTTTGGTTTAGTTTTGGAGCTACTCGTGGCAGCCGTTAAGGTTGTTAAGTGCCACAGACTTATGCGCACATTAGCCTGCGATAAGCATTTATTTGCAAGCTGAACTCTTTTATTTTCGAAAAGAAAGGGTTACTTTTACTCGTATTTTTCTTTACTACAGTTTACTGCCTTGAATTAGCTAAAAGTCGATGGCCCTAAAGAAAAGTAATCTGTGGTATTTATTTAATGATACCAATTTAACAGCCGATTATGATAAATACAATCCGTTCTATATAGGTATTGAAAAAGTCAGAGAATATTCTGTTATATAATATACAAAAATATGTTTCATATATTTCTGCCAAACGAGTCTGCTTAAACTTACCGTAATTGATTACTCAACAACGAACTATCAACTAAGGTTAATGAAGCCAATATTCAAAAACATATACACCTGTCAAACGTAACGCACATAAAAATTAACAGAAATTAGTTAAACATACAATAATTTAAATGGGTACTACTGCCAAAAGTGGAACCGACAGGTTCGTCGAGCTTCTGTTTCGGCAAAGAAAAGCCGCGGCTTTAGGAATAAAGCTCGCTAATTAAAATAAAAAATTATAATAAAACATACGCTGGAGCATTTGAATATGTATAGGCTTATGATTTTTTTGGTGCATCAAATGATAGCATAGGAAGGCAACAGAGAAACACACGACATCAATGAAGCAAGTCGCCGGCTTTTACATTGCTGTTTAGAAACGAAAAGCAGCCAGAAGCAATATTGAGATCAATATCGTTTTGGGTAGGCTGACCACACTTAGGTTCAGCTAAATAAGTTGTTAAGCGGCTAGTTTGGTAGAAAGCTTTCAAAATCAATGGGCTATAATAGTATACGGCATGATATAGAATTAATTAGCATACGATTTTTGAGTTTTGTCGTTTGTCTCGTGGGAAAAAGTGGTCGACTCATTTATGAGTTATCAGAGGCCGGCGGAAACTCAATTTCAATGTGACTTTTCGCGATCTTTGCGATGCAAATTTGTTGAGCTCATAAAATTAAAGCAATATCCGTTGTATATATAATCGCTTATTTTGAATAAATTGAATCCCGTTAAATGGGCGCTCATTACGAAAAGAGCATGGGTTAATGTGTTTATCAAAACGCATAGAATATAATTGAAATATTTCAAAAATTTCAAATGGTATAAGAACAATAATATTCTAAATTGAAACACAATTATGTTTAATAAGGTGTTAACTGAGTATAAAAAAATTTTATCATGATTTTTTTATGAAAAACGTTTGTTTAAAAGTACTCCACGGTTTTAATGCTACAGTACTCCACCAAATGACAACAACGAGAGAAAGTCTAGTACTTCCTTTGTGTCAAGTTTTTATAAATTATCTATATTGGGTTTTCCACATATTTTTGTAAGTTACTTGCTCTCACCTTAAATACTTTTATTTTTAATATAGATAATAATTAATTAACACAAATTTTAATTCACTTGGACTAAGGTTTTAATACATATACACAACACATCAACTTTTGCCTTCTGCAAATTCGTTTCGAGGAGCGTTAATTTTCCATAAATTAGGTATACTAAAATGGACTCAAGACTGTTTAAGCTTGCCCACCGCGACGCCGCTCATCCAGTCACTCGACCGTCAAAATTTCAACTAATGCATGCGATTCGCGCTGGTAACGCACAAAGCATCAATGATCTGCTCTGATGTTCCCGTGTCCGGTGCCCTGCCGTGTTACATCCAGCCAACTCTGGGCTACTGCCGCCACCCGAAAATATACGCACACTGACATATTTTCACGGCCTCTCAACTGCCACAAGGCGGACGAAACGTTTTTCTGGTGTAACCGGTTTCACGGCAGCAGCAGCAAACAACAGTGTGCTGGCGCAAAACAACAACAACAGCAACGACAGCCCCGCTTGCGGCTCACGGCCAATCAACAGTCACTTCATATTGCGCATGTGTTGTGCTGGCATTGCGCGCCTTATGATTGGCCGAAGCCGTGGGTTTCGTTACATTCGATGCCCTGAAAGGTTTGAATAAGCCGCACCGTGGAACTACGCACATCCTGCGCTGGCATGACGAACACAATGGAGTCAATAAACGCATGCCAAGATATGAGGTAAATAATAATAATTTAATAAAAGTCACACAAAAGTCAATTCAACAGCGAATAACTATTTAAGTTTAAATCACAAAATATCTAAAACGAGAATACAAAAACCGCTCGACTAGCAACAAACCTCAGCAGGCGAACCCCACATATATTCAGCATTAAAAAAAAAATACATATGTAGAGTATAGTTTGTATCATTAAAGCCAACTCTAAATATTTAAATATCAACAACAAAATATATATTTATTTATTAATTCAAATATTATAGCAACAGTACGAAAAATAATTTTATACCATCGTACACTAATGTTAAAGCGTTGCGGCAGCCGTAGCCGTAGCCGTTGCCGTTGCCGTTGCCGTTGCCGTTGCCGTTGCCGTTGCAGTCGCGTTCCGGCCAATCGGCAGCGGCAACTCAGCACGCGAATGTTTCTCCATGCCCACCACAATATGACAACACCATAGCCCTAGAATTTTATATATATTTATGTGTATGCATGTACAAATAGATATATGGAAGTGTGTGTGTGTGTGTGTGTGTATGGTGTAGCCGTACCCTGAGCGAAACAACGACGGCTACAGGCGTGCGCCGGTCCTATCTACACCGTGGCTTTCTCTCTCTCTTATGAAGCTCATGGAATGGGTAAATGGGTTTTTGGGTGGTGGAATTAAGAAACGCTTTGGTGGTGCAAGTGTTAATTGAATATGACAATTGTCGCCTGCCATTTCAATTGAAAATAGATTTTAAATGGGCAAGGCTGGTAACGAAAGATAAAACTGTCATATTGACTATAAAAGGTGACTATCGTTTATTCGTGGAACAATACCGCTTTCAGTCCGGTAAACGTAATTGTATGCTGGGCTTTTAGGCTGCCTCCGGAAAATCAATGTAGAAAAAGTGGGACTATATTAAAGCGTGTATCCAATTCAGGTACCCAAGTGCGTAACACTCATCTGCGTGTCATAAGCAAATCTACTTGTGGCGACAAAGATTTATATTTCAAACATGAAATCTCTTAGAGCTAGCAATGGCTACAAAGGTATATGGTATATGGAGTGGCACTTTTGTGTCCGTCACCAACATTTCTGCAAGGTTGAGATAAAACTGTCAAAAGAGCACAAGGCCCAAGTCGAGTGCCTCACACAATGGCGCTTGCCACTAGCTGATAGTCTTCATCTCCAACATTGCCAAACAGCAGCTGCCCCGTATTTTCTCATTCAGCCAAGCGAGGAGTAATAAGATCAACAGAGTCAGCCAGGCATGTAGAAGCGACGCCCAACGCGACCGTAGTCATCCCAAACCACCCAACCCACCCATCACCCACGTTGCTTGTTCTGCTGTCTGTTCAGCACACAGACACCGCGATTATGTGACCATGAGCTTTTCAAGTGGTTGCAATTACCCAAACCCAGCCCAGAACACGCCCCAATTAAGGTCGACACACAAATCTGTGTGGGAAGTTCAATTTATAATCCATTCAATGCACAGAAAAAGAGCAACCGGAAGTAAAAGTCAGTATAACAGAGGGCGCTTTGCAAAAAGGGCGTCAAATCGGCTTAACTTCTTCCAATTGAGTGGATTTTCCTACGCATTGCTTGTTGCGATAGGCATCTTTGGCGTTACATTAGCTTATATTGTAATTGAAATTAAATCCACTGACCTTTATTAGAAGCATTCTGTACTCGTAAGACCAGCCATGCACCTACGATAAAACTTCAACCGAAATGTAAGACGCGAATTTTAGATAATTAGTAAAAACAAATGTATAGTCAGTCTTTCGCGATAATTACAAAAATGTAATTATAAATAGTAACTATCTCAACAAATTTATTCACAGAAACTTTACATACCGCCCAATCAAGAAATGCACCGATTTTATTATTGTCAAAAATTCCTTCTAATATCTTGTATAATAACAGTCGGGGCCTTCAGGGCTGCAGTCATTAAAATTATTATTTAAAATTGGCAAGCTCGTGTCTGAAGACAGGTAGTCTACAAAAATGACTTGGAGGCAGATTTCATGGTCATTAATAAGAAACAGTATGCGCTGTTGTCGCTTCTGTCGGATATTTGCGCTCCATGGCATAGCTAGCAGCCAAGAATTTGGAAATTAGCCACTATGTGAGCTACAAAAAGTTTGCTTTTGTTGCGTGGGTGCCTCGAAGCCGTCGATCAAATTAGTTGACTAGCCAACTTGAGGTTTTTGCGTCTGTCATACAAAAGAACAGCCAGACACTATATACTTTTAAATTGAAGGGGCGGTCTAATTGAGGGTTTGCTTTCGAGTTTGTGTTGGACGTTGCAATCAGCAGATGCAACACACAGCGTTTTGGTGGAAACAAAACCGGCAGCGACGGTACAGCGTCGACGATGACGACAACGAAGAAAACGACGATTTTTGTGCGGGCCAAATTGGCGCAGGTTACGCATGTGCCTGAAATCATGAACATGAGGTTACCTCTCCCCTGTAGTTTTAGTTTACACGCGACGTTCTTTTGATGGATGCAGCGCAGGATGGCAAACAAGTTGCAGCAGGCTCTCAGGTGCACCTTGCGATTGGGACGAAGACACGCGCCGAAACAAGCAGCAACACCTAAGTAAGTGAGGCAACGAGCAGGAGTGCACAACGGCAGACAATCGTTGGAACAATTAGACAACCCAAAATACAGTTGCCGACAAACGATAAGATAAAGTTGCGCGTTTACCAAAAATTCTATTTTATGTTGTAGTCCGCCTACACGCAATTCTTAACTGCCATAAAAACCTTAGAATTCGTTGTCTGTCTGTCGCACCATCTATTTCGATCCACTCCAAATAACCAATTAATAAAAACGTAATTTCCACAGAGTTTTCCAGGCGACACCTGCCCAAGTGGGACGGATGGGTCAGCAAATCTAGATAAGAAAATGAGCAATTACAAAGGACTTTGACAACACGTCGGCAAAATGGTAACATTTTCTCGCATTAAAGGACGAAACAGAACGCACCAATGAGCACACAAAATGGCCGAACAGACAAGGGTGAGCAGTTGTTTGGTTAGCCAAGCTTTGCGTGTAAAAAGAAGCCCTTGCAATAAATTAAATTTCTGACATTATTATATATCTTAATTAAATTTTTGGAAAGAACGGCTTACAGCAAAAGCTACACATTCTCACAAATAACATACACGACACAAATCTATAATATGTACTTGTATGTTAAAAATTAACTCTTATATATCATTAGCATTAGCATTAGCACTAGATTAAATTGATTAATACTTCAATACCTTTTTGACAAAAAATTTAACAATAACCTTAACAAAGAATAATCCACATATTCCATATAGTGCGTGCTTCCAGCAAGTAAGAGCTGCCTCTGATATTTCTCGATCTTCCGCCGAATATAATTGATTTTTAAAGGCTCGAACGCCTCTTTAAATCGTTTAGTGCATCATAGAAACGAATTTAATTTTACGCTTGTCTATGGCCAGGCAGTCCACTCACTTGCAGTGCAGTACAGATTCTGCGTCCCCCTTCAAAGTGTTAAAATGATCATAAAACAGTGCCCTTTCGGCACAGAATCGTAAAATCCAAAAAGCGTTTGCCTTCCGTGTCTTTGGCTAAATGCAATATTTTTACGAGCCAAAGCCGCGCCTCTTCAAAATGCAAAAGGTAATCTTCCTTTTGGTATAGCATCAGGTCGTTATCCTCTTTGGCGGCAGAAAGAACAAAAGTCAAAAACAGTAGCTCAACTAATTGAAAAATAAAAGTTGAGCTGTCTCTGATCTTCAGCTCACATTCCTCCAAACACCCGATCCACCACTCAAAAAAGAATTGAAATTTCCATACTACAAGCCATGTCATACAATGTGATAAAAATTGTGAGATTAATATAATAATAATTCATAGCAATTAATTAATAATAATTTATAAAATTTATGTGTTGCAACCGGAGAAGAAATTAAGACCCTAATATACTACGGTGGGATAGTAGTACCTTTATGTTGTAAACCAGTAGCATCTTCACAGTTTTTTCGACACATTGCATGAATGCCTCAGCTTAACCCTTGTAGGTAATGTGCCGATCGGCACATATTTGCAAACACGTTAAACAACAAGTAAGAAGACTCTGGTCGAGACTGCTCGACTAGAAGATACCCTGAACCCTCCAATCTGATATTCTAATCACTGTGCACTTCTTTTCGGCACACATACATACACACGCACGTAKTAAAACGCGCTCTGCTAACTGTGCAATAAGCAGCGACTGCGCTTGGGCTGCCCTGCAGTGTGAGCAACATTATAAGAATTTATTTGTTGAATAATTTTCTAGACGTACAATCTTAATAAAACTTTCAGAAAATAATCATAATGTTCAAATGTATGTATATTCAAAAGCAAAAGTCTCTAGTATTTGAAATACTCTTTTTACAAAAGTGAGGGTGAGGGGGTGAATTTANAAAAAAGATCGGGATGAGTTATCGATTTTTAATGATAAACTCGATATCCGCGCTGTAATTACGGATATTTAAAAAAAATTGAAGTCTCTAGCTCTTATATCTTCTGAAATCGACGCGTTCATACATACGGACAGACGGACGGACAGACAGACGGACAGGGCCAAATCGACTCAGCTCGTCACCCTGATCAAGAATATATTTGTGGGGTCTGCCACGCCTGTTACATACATTTCAACAAAACCATTATACCCTGATTTCCCATTGAAAATGGGTTCAGGGTATAAAAATCGGCATTGGCTGGAGTCAAAGATAATCGCATCGAGTAAACAGAGGTCCGTTGGCAGCAAGCTGTATATCGTTACTGCCAAAAATCACTTCGACTCTTTTTCGAGATCAGTTAAAAAAGTGGATCGGTGCATCGGTGGATGACTTGTTCGCAATCTTAAAACACGCGCTCATCGTGCGCAGCTGTGGTGTACTTGTAATTTAGGTGTGTCCTGCCCCTTCGTCATGTTTATCTGCAATGCACTTAGGTGTTCAGGTTAAAAGATGGGGATGTTTCCAAACTCTGATCTCGATGAGCCATGGTAAGGTGTGCAATCAGTCCGTGCGATCTGTTAAATTAGTCCAATTGTTTTAACTAGTAGCTTAGAATGTTGCTAAAAGAAGGCCAATTTCAGTCATACGTTCATACATCCAGAACTGCTTAATGCAGGGACTACAAATGTTTAAGCAAAGATGCACTTGAAACCTCTTGGGCATACCCACTTGAATATCATTTCAAAATTCTCAAAGCGTGTATTCATCCAAGTCAATAGTTATCTATATGCAATAAATTACACAATCAAATGTCTTACAGCTTGTTGTGAATACACAAAACTGCTTACAATTTTCATTTGAAATTTCAAAAATTTATTACCTTATAAACATAATCAAAATATCATCAAAACAAAAGATACGCACGCGACATGCTGCGCTTATGATGACACCAAAATAAATGGAAAACAAAAGATCGAATCGACCAGAGTCAACCAGCTTCGCAACCCTTAGAATCGCTGTCTCCTGTTGTGCTGTCCTCGCAATGTGGTTTACGCATGGCTAAACCAGAAGGTAACTAGATAGATACGGATTGGCATTATTAGAGTGCGCATATGCTGCATTGACATCCCTAACTGCGTGCGGTTGTGCACTGTGATTCAATTGTTATTGTTTGCAAAGTTACGTCTCATTAAATCGAGCGCTATTGTTGACATAAGTGCTGACATTTCAATGATCTGGTGTAATTGATGTGCGGAAGTAAGAAATTTCGCGGCAGGTGTGAGCTCCACGAAACTGTCAGATTATGATTATGAAGCAGAGCAATGCCACAGGGAGAGAACCAGTGGCTGTTGAATACAGCATCCAGAATCAGAAGCGGAAACTTTAATGTTCACACATTTGCAGCTCATCAATTTTAGTTATCCTTTCTGTGTATCAAGTTCATTCAACTTGATTTTGTTCGGTCCATGTTTAGCGCCGCGTTGTTGACTTAATCGCGATCAATTTGTGTTGTTCCAAGCTCCGCAGCTTAAACGCTTGTCGCCCAAACATTGTGAAACTGCTGCGCCGGCTGGACCTGCTGACCACTGCATTATTAAGCCATAAAATTGAAAACTTAATATAATTACATAAACGTTGGCCTCAACGCCCCAAGCCTGGGCTCTAAAACAGGGTACCAGCCGATTTTCGGGCACACGCTCTTGCTTTGTGGTACCTTGCTTGTTACATATAATGACCAGAGCAAAATTTACCAGAACATTTTAAGCAGTCCACGGTAAACCCGCCATACAGCCATCGAGGCTGAATTTTGCCCATGGCGCAATCTGCAAATAATAAGAGACTCACACTGAGGTCCGGACATGGTGCAGCCGGCTTACATTACTGTCATCGGCATCATCATTAGTTTTTGCATTATTATTACAAAAAGTTGCATACTCCTTAAATATTGGTACTGTATCCTAATCAGGAACAAGATATTCACTTTAAAAAGTGCCACTAACTGTATTTACATATTATGTATCCACATAAACAAAGCTACCAATTTGACGGTAGTTTCATTTTGAAATATTCCTTCTTTCAGCAGAAATAACTATATAAATTATCAATGTTTTCACATTAGTTTTATGTTCGGAAACAGAATTAAGCATTGATGAAGCGTATCTATATAATAACTATGTCTAAAAAATATTTTTTTAAATATTTAAAAATAATTGAATTATTTTATTGATATTTGTGTGCTTTAAGTTACATGTATCACAGCACATAATCCTCACGTGCTCAATATTGAAATGTAACTGCATCTTGTCAGCGTACAAAGACTTCTTGCATTTCAACTTCCACCGGCCCCTTTTTCGGTTTGCCAGTTCGGAATCGCTCCTCGATCTCCAAAAGTGTACGTCTTCGAGTCTCAGGCAGAATCCAATAAATGAATGTCATAGACAAAAATGACATAGCGCCAAAAAAGATAAACGCGTTGTTCAGGCCAATGCTTGATTTTAAGTCCGGATACATTTTAATGCACAAAAATGCAAAGAACATACCCACTGCCACAGTTAGACCTGAAGCTGGACCACGCACTTTTTGAGGAAAAAGCTCCGAAATCATGAAGAAAGGCAGAGTATAGAGACCCAATGTACTAAGTACAATGAAGCTTACGATCGCTATGACTGGTAGGTAAGACACGCTTTGGAGAACTTCAAGCCAACCATGACCAGCCAGGAGAAACATGGAGACGGTCATACCAAACGTTGATATGATTCCAGCACGTCGCCGGCCCCACTTTTCTAGCACATAACCCATGGGACAAGTTGTCACCAGCCTCGCCATTCCAATGAGAACAGCGCACATGAATGGATCCATTGAGACACCTGCGTCACTGGAGATTTGCACAGCGTACACAATGACCACGAAAATCCCTGAAAGCTGTTGAAATGCAAACAAACCCATCAAAATCAACAGCGGTTTGTGCACTTCAGGCAATTTTAGACAAGTTAAGAACGATGGTTTCCTCTCGCCATCACGAAGATGCAGTGACTTTTGTAAAATATTGAACTCCTCTAAAACTTCAGGATGCTTGATACGTGCTATAATAAAAATGAAATGCTAATTATATTGGAGCTTCAGATATTTATATCACTCACGTGACTTGTCCAGTCCACGAAAATAATTAAGTGACACCATAGCCTCCTCCACACGCTTCTTAGATAACAACCAACTAGGCGACTCTGGCAATGGTAGCACACAGAGCAACGCGGTTATTTGATAGCAACAGCAAATAAGCGCAATTAGTCGAAAATTATCCCGTATAAAGTAACCAATGCTATAGAGAATTGTTATGCCCAAAGCCACTGAAATGGAGGTGCCAAGTATAAGGCAGCCTCGTAACTTCGGTAAACTAATCTCAGCTGCATAAACACCAGAAGGCGCACTAGCCAATCCCATGACTATTCCTGAAAAGCAAAAGTGATTATTATGATTTTTAAGTATTGGCTTTGGCAGGGAGTTACCAATTATGAAACGAGATATAAATAACTGCCAGTAAAATGCTTCAGTACTCGTCGAACTCGGTGTGGCAAGCAGTGACCAGGCTGTGATGGCCAACAAATTTAACACATAGAGAGTACGCTTACGTCCAATTTTATCGAGTAGTAATCCCGACAATAGACCACCCAATGGAGAAGACAATGTGTTAATAGATGCAAACCAAGAAGCTTGTGTGCTATTTAAATACACAGGTTCCAATTCGCTGGTCAACTGGCGTAGTGAAACTGTAGGAATAGCCAGAGCTAAACCAGTTGATATAACCCCCATATTGGCCAGTATAACCATAAATGCCTGTCGCCGGACTGCACGCGGTTGTTCACCCAGTGGTATTTTCTTTGGTGATCGATTTAATCCATTTACGATCTGTGGGTGCTTGCCATTGGTCCTCTCAGAATGGCTACTGAACAACTGTTCTTCCTGACCCTCAATCTTACATTCCATTTTCGATGTTTCTGAAAAAGGAAAATGTGATCATATTAGAATATATATGATTTTACCACATACTTGTATATTATATGTATTTTATTATAAACAATATAATAACATATCCATTGGCAGATGCTACTAATATATATCAATTTTTTTTAACGCAGAAGTATCATATACCATATAGCTGGTTCAATTACAGTGATATGGATGAGCAATAAAGACAGAACATTCCAACTGATAAGACTGAGTCACATCTTCATTGTCTTAAACTGTTTTGTATTTTATTTAAAGATGGTGATTTCACATAAATATGTTAGTTAGAAAAAAAATAATCTTTCGTTTAAAGAGCGATCTGAACCTGAGCCTCATAGTGGTAGTGTATCTGTTGGTCGAGAACTTAAGTCGTTAGTTTATATTGGTTCGTTGCTAACGATTGAAAATCGTTCAAGGTGAACTAAATCGATTAAGCCTTTACTGATAACAAATAAAACAAAAATTAGTATGGGGAGCGTCCGACTATAACATACTATTATATATACCCCTATACATATATATATACATATATATATATATTTGTTTGTTTACCGTTAATTGATAGCTTCATACAGAAGACTTGATTGCTTCAAATGCTGGCTACGCATAGAACAAAACAATTTTTGAGTCAAACGACTCAATGGTCATTAATAAAGCATAAACTTGTGTATTGTATTTTCATATGATGCCAATTTAATCAAACTGTTGTCTCAATAATTAATTCATTTACACGAGACAGAAGTTCTAAGATCTGAAGAAAACCTCGCTTTGAAATATTTGTTCCACTGTGGCTACCAAATGTATTTGAAAACAGGTTATCTCTTAGTTCAACTAAAGACTTAGAAAACCGGCTTTAAAAAACAGCACGATTACACTGTCGGCACGACAAAAAAAAAAAGAGCTCAAAATATATTTTTAGCTTAACTTAAACTTAAAAACACGCTTGCCTATTTAGCTTGCCGTATAGAAAATAGCTCAGACGTGAAGTAACTTAGCCTAAAGCGAAAGAAAGGCAACTTGGCGATCCGACAATATCGAGACGCTCCAAACGACTGAAATGCGCTTGCGATGGAAAATGTCTCCCAAACTGAAGGCGTAAGATCATTCAAATGTAGAATGTGTGGGCCCAAGATACCCTGTAGAATCATTTATATATACTAAAAAATAATTAGT